TATAACCCCCTACTTATGGACCTTAGAAACGCCGGGGGAGGGACACGGCCCCTCCCCCGACCCCCACCGCTGTCCAGCCAGCCGTGAGGTCCGCTTCACTCCGGTTCCTGACTCAAGGGTGGATTCGAACTCACATCTCAGCTTTGTCTGCCATCAGACTTTGTAGCGTTCAGAGGCTGCGACCCACCACAGTGCGCCATTTCCCGGGCCCTTGGAACTGTTCTCCGGGCGTATTTGTCTTCTTACTTTGGGTGTTGGTCTTGAAAATTTACAGCTTGTCATAAGATTCGAACCCTCGACCTCCAGACTGCCAACCAGTCTTCCAACTCTCTGAGCTACCGGCCCAGACATATGCTCTTTGGTTCTCGGAGTCTTTGACTCTTCACTTTGGGTGGTGGACTTAAAAACTCACAGACTCTTGAAAGATTTGAACCCACGACATTAAGATTATCAGTCAGTTGCCTATCAACCTGAGCTACTTGGTCAGACAAGAGTTCTTGATTCCTCTGAATCTTTGACTCTTCACTCTAGGTGGTGGACTTAAAAAGTTCCTGGTTCTTGTGAGATTTGAACCCAAAACCTTCCGATCTCTAGACTAACGTCTACCAACCTGAGCTACTTGGCCAGACCAGAGAGCTTGATTTCTCGGAATCTTTGACTCTTCACTTTGGGTGGTGGACTTAAAACAGACTACTGTAAGATATGAACCCACAACTTTAAGCTCTGAAGTCAGTTGTCTACCAAGCTGAGCTACTTGAGCAGCCCAGAGATCTTGATTTCTCAAGACACTAAATATATTATACATATTAAGATATATACATACCAAGATAGATACATAGATCGTACAATACTTACTAAGATAGATATATTGATACTTATCAAGATAGATACATAGATAATACAATGCTTACTAAGATAGATATATTGATACTTATCAAGATAGATACATTGACACTAAGATAGATACATACCAAGATAGCTGCTAAGCTACTAAGATACTTGCTATGATAGATACATACTAAGACGTATACATAACAAGATAGATACTTACCAAGATAGGATGGATACCTACCAAGATAGATACATAGATAATACAATGCTTACTAAGATAGATATATTGATACTTATCTAGATACTTTGACACCAAGATTCTCACCAAGATATATACATACCAAGATAGACACATACACACAAGATAGATACTAAAATACAGACATACTAACATAGACAAGACACTAAAATACTTACTAAGACAGATTCATCCATACAAGCCTGTCTTGTACTTGTTTATCCTTGTGTGCATGAACAGGCACAAAAGTAAAGTATTTCCTATCCTGTGTGCAAGTATAATTATCATGTCCCACGCTTTGATATTAATGTAAAGGCTGACATGGTGGAACACAGATACACACATTTAATTAAAGAGTACATGTGTTGGTTTCAGGCGGGTGGCATGTATAGCGATGGAGAAGACCAAACAGGAACAGCAGGCCAGTTGTACTTGGTTTGGCAAGAAGAAGAAACAGTACAAAGACAAATACCTGGCCAAGCACAATGCAGGTAAGCCAATGAATGCAGTTTAACTTGAAGCAAAGGAGGACTACATTTGGTTACACAGTTGACAACATTTACATAGTACGCATCAAGCAACTTGACTCTGTGTACAGTCTCATTGAATTAGCGAGATGTAATGTTCAGAAGCGTATTACATTCACAGAAGAAGACCACATATTTTAGAGACCTTGTGAGATCTGCATGTTAAGATTGTTATCAGTTACTATTATACGTAAGAGCACAGGGCTCCTGATTAAATACAACGAATATGAGACTGAAGTTTTAGATTAAATTTAAGTTTTACAAGATGATCTATATGGTATTTTGGAAAATGTCATCACTTGTGTGAATGCAAGCTTTTACAGAAAGCAAGAAATATGTTTTATATTGGTTTATATTCTGGAGCTGTGATTACAACATCATGATTATGACATTTGTTAGCGTGTTGTACAATATCTGGTAACTAACAAAACAAGGATTGGAAAGCCACAGAGCTTCTCTTTGATACGGAAGAAAGCTTAACTCTGTTAAAAGCTGTTCTGTGACAGCTGTCAGTACATCAAATGGTTAAAGAGAAACTATGTGCTTTACTTCATTTTCCACAGTGTTAACAAATAAAATGGGGTTCATGTTGTCGTGGTTTCATGTATCCACGGATACATTGTACTTCCTCTTTCTTGTAGAAGTTGGTGCATACATACAGGTGATGACCTTACGCGACACTCTTCGAAACATTTTTGTTCCAGCTTATATTATTCGATCAAATTAGGTAGCAGTCTTACTTCTGTCCAGTACTGTCACAACCACCTTCAGGTCTCTTGTTTTTCCTCTGTGTGTGTAATGCACTTCCACAGTAAAGGGCATGTGTGACATTCACATGTCGCACCTTCGTAGCCCGTGTAACTGATCCAGTATGCTGTTGCACGTCTGTTATGTTTTCCCTCTGACAGACCTCTTCTACTGCTGTCTCGATTTTGCCTTATTTTTTAGTGACTAACAGCGTTACAATTAACAGCTTTTGTTACTGTGTTTTTGGTTCAATTTTTGTTCTTTTATGGTGTCTTTTTATTAACCCTTCCGCTCCCACCCTTTGTCCATATTTCATGCTGTCTCTTACCCAATGACATGGCTGCATGTAAGTAACTCCAGAGAGCTGGCATCCAGCTTCTGTGTTTTTCTTCCTTCTCTCTGCTTTCACACCTCGTCCTCTTCCTAATGTCTCCTTGACTTTTGAATGACGGCTGCTTTGTTAGGGTTCTTATGAGCTGGCTTGTTACTTGCAATGTATTCAGTGTGAAGGTAGATGCTGGTCAGCTTGATTCTGTTTTTCTATTTGACCAAGGTTAGCGCAAATAAGCAGGTTTTAATGCTTTCTCAAGGCATTTGACCTTCATCAGGTCTGCTTGGCGCTTGTTTGAACCAGTAGTTGGTGTACATTATGGCATCATTTGAATAATTCATCGCTAAATATTAAAGCCTGTCTGACTAAGAATCTCAGGCTTGATTTAAGCCACAGGGACAAAACATTGGAATTAATGTTAATCTCATTTGCATTGCTTGTGTCCCCTCTGATTCTCTTATTAGGTTTGCATTTATTTTTAGAAATATGTTTGTGTTCACACTATTGTAGAGTATGTACACTAAGTTGCTAGTCTGCCAGGTACACCCAGATAAAATCACTGCAGTCTGATCCAGCACCCCTGTGATAATGTTATATTGTGAAGGCTGTACCGTTGAGTTTTATTTAACCTGCTTGACAGAGACTGTGTTTCTGAGAACTTACTGGTAATTTTAGAGGCTGCAGGTTGTGGTGCTGTTGAACTGAAGGATTTTGTCCACCTTATTTAAATCATTTAGTGCACACACATCTCTGGAAAACAGTTTGAACAAAAACTCAACAGTAGAGCCTCCATGAAGTTAAACGAACCACAGAGTTGTTTTATTACACTGCACCATTACTGTGCTTGTTTACTACTTGTTTTACAGTTCCCTTTTAGTCTTAGATTTTAATATAACGCTTTACATTTTTAGACTGTTGTCTTTAGAATTTCCATTTAACCCCTGAACTGAACATGATCCATCCTTTCACATCCAATCCTGTCTTAACCTAATATTTGTCCTCTGTTGTGCAGTGTTTGACCAACTAGACCTGGTGACGTACGAGGAAGTGGTCAAACTGCCGTCATTCAAGAGGAAAACGCTGGTTTTGCTTGGTAAGTAAACTCAGTATCAGAGGAGTTAATCTGATTGAACTTTACAGGTTTTGATTAATAAAGGGTTACTTTGGACACTGGTTTTGCAAGCTGAGCATTTGGATTTTTGAATTTAAATGGTGTGCCTGAAAACAGCAGTTGTTGCCATAATCATGTACATTTGACATACCTGGATTATAGCTGCAAGGTGCAGATCTAAATGCATAAGCCAGCACGTGATCAGCGTTTACAGGCTGAGATGTGTAGAATACATTTAAAAAACAAGCCAGTAATTTTCTAAATATGTTCAAAACCAAAATTACAGGTACAAATGTACAGACGCAGTACTACAGCAACAAACTGAGATTTTCAAGCACACTTTTTACCGTTTCTTTATGTGAATAAAGATAATTTTACAAGTAGTATAGAAAAAATAATCTTCACTTAAGTCGACTTACCTGATTAGTTTTTCAAATAGTACTTCTTTTACACATGTAGTGTCTTGCATTCCCCAAAAGAAAGCAAAACTGGAGACTTAATCATGACTTACTATCTGGAGAAACTGGAGAAAAGAACAGATGTGCTGATATTCAACTTCATTCATGCCATTAAATCAGGTAGCACCATCTCCCCCTCCTCGCAAGTTTTAATGATGCGTTGATAACCACCTTAACCTTTTCTCAAAGTATTGTGGAAAATGCCACTTTAAACTTCTACAAGAAACAAGTCTCACATTGCCATGGATACGGTGAGTTGCACCGTGGGCAGCAAATTGCATCTTGATTTTTAGCCTGTATTTATTAAAATTTGGTAAATTAAGTTTACTCAGTTAGAAATTGACGGATTCTTTGATCAACATTTTGAAGACTTCATGAGTTTCCTGAAAATCAAAGTTGTTAAGATGTATTCAGTATCAAAGTAGTTTTAAGTACATCTAGAAACACAATAAAAATGCAGAACTTGAAGACAAAATCAAAACGTGGCTCATGTGACACCTGCAACTCACTGTATCCATGTTGGCATCTGTGTGCTCAGGTAAATACTTTAATACAGTTTACAAAATAATATTTCAAAGGGGGGAAAAACCTTCATCACTGCAAATCAGGTTGCACCGTGGTACCAAACACAACTGTGACTGTTCACCACCACCACATTCCATGCCAACCTACACAACCCGAAGCTTTTCTTGAAAATATGAATCGAAGAACTTCTTGCGAGCTCTTTGCATTCCTTTTTGGTTACCAAAAAGCTACATTTCACGATTGTTGTAATTCCTCTTAAGCCTTGCCAATTGTTTGATTAGTAAAAATGTACTGCCTCAGATCTTGGTAAGTACTTCTTCAGGCTGAAAAGACCAACTTTTAAGTATTTTGACTGTGTATTTCCCAAATGTTTATTTTATTTTCCTTGAAACATTTTTATTGCAAAGTATTATTCATTGCACATGTATCAAAACAATGGAAGATGTCCTTCAGAAGTTGAAGATCCACAGGGCTGCAGCCAACCTCCCTGGACGCGGCTGTAGGAGGAACAATGATGACAAATTGAAGAAACGGACAATACGAATGGCAACTAAAGAGCCCAGAAGA